GTGTATCGTAAAGTTGTATTCGGAAAGAATAAAGCAGTTTTATTTAAGAAAGGACTTGTGTCGCTAAAGTTTCGTTTTTTTAAGTTTTTTGGTCAGCCTCTTCATGACTATATTGGCGAAGCAGACGGTAGATGGCAAATTTGAGGTCCACCAACATTAGACAGTTATGCCAAGGTCCACCCAGGAACTCTTTCATCACGAATTATTTTTGTTTATTTCTTTGAAAGTTACTGATTCATCAGAACTGTAATATGTATGCATAATTATTTTGATAATGTTTTGCTTTTGAGTAAGTAAAAGGGTCTTACTTTGATGTTTAGGTTATATTGATATGGTTTATAAAGTGCTATAATAATGTGTTTATTATGACAGTTTTCGTTTTTTTTAAATGTTTGATTGATTATGTTATGACCATTTTCAATGGTTTGATTTTTGTACTTGGTGTTTTTGTAATGGATTTCATTTTAAAGGATTATTTTGTGTAAAGATTGTGAGAAGTTCTAATTTTTATTGTTTTTACTCTTCTGTCTTTAAAATAGTTTTGACTGTACTTGCTTTATTATTGTAGGCTATTTCGTTTTTATTATGTGCATTGTTTGATCAGTGATTCATTTTTATGTACTTATGCAAAGTATGTTAGACTACCATCTCCTAAAGGTGGTAGGTATTCATTGCCAGTTTTTCTTTTTATATATGTTCGATATTATAGTTCTTAGTTCCTTTCTTTAGTACAGTGCTCCAATCTTTGTTAAGTTTATATCTGTGAATTGGTTGTTATTTATCAAAAGTTTGTGTTGTCAATGCTTCACGAGTAAGGTAGAGTTAACACACTTTCATATCACGTCATCAGCTTATAAGCTAATTGATTATAAAGTTAGTTTTAATCGTTGGCCTGTGGATAGGCCTGATAGAGGTGGGAGTATTATATGTGGACATATCATATGTTTCCTACCTTCTATAGTAATATAGAATTATTCAAAATTATTGGCTATGTAGTTGCCACAATGTAATGGCAGCAGCATATGGCCTGAAGTTGCTAACATTATCTTGTTCTAGCTGCTTCGCCCTTTGTTCTCTAGTAGGCGACATCTTCTCTGCCCATAGGAATATTTCAATACTGTATGTAGAATCCAGGTTGAACAGGTTAGTAATGAAATATCCTTTGCTGGAAGATTGTAATTTTGACTGAAGCTGACAGCTGACCAATGCTGTCAGGGAGCATAGGTAATGAAGTGACACCGTCCACTGAGCAAAGAAAGCAAGTTAACATTTTGGATCCAGGTGCAATTTCTTTGTTTAGTTCTATTTGGCTTTTATTGTGAACAGTTCAGTAGAGATTCTTCTTAAGAGACTGAAAGCTGTCGAGCTATTCTATGATCCAGTCTACACAAGTTGCATAATTTTTATGTTGTTTCTAAATAAAGATTGTTTTCACTGTCAGTTAAGTGTGCCTAATATGTTTATTTCTCACACAACTTAAAATTCAGTAAAGTTACCAAATACAGAACACTACCTTTATTTTTTGGACTAATCTGCTATGATTTGCGGGTTTGCCTTTCTAGTATTTGTCGCGACATCGATTTTACCTGAAATTAAGACAAGTAGACTGGAAGAGGACGTTTAACACCAAATAATTCAAAAGAACCCGCACACAGTAGATCACGTTACAATTCTGTTGTCACAAGTAGGATTATATTTGTGAAAATAAAATAGAATTTTGACTAAACTTCAATTTGAAAATGACGACCCGATCATGAAGCGATATTGACATAAAATTTTATTAGGATTGATGTAACTTTTAAAAGAAAATCAAAAGAAAGAGATAGTAAGTTCAAAAAACTAGAAAAAAGACATAAAATTAGAATAACAGAATAGAAAATTACGAGAAGACGAAAAAAAATCTAGAAAATTAAAAGAAGATCAAGAGGTAAAAAATGGTAACTCTTTTCTTCGGGTTTAGATCTTATGGATCTTGGAGGTTCAGGTTCAATTTTGACCTCTTTCGCCCTCCAACACTTGAGAAATGATTCTTGTGTAATATTGATTTAATTACTACAAAAGGGGTAGAGCTTAGTTAGTCCACGCTTTCACGCTGACCCCTTTCAAGGCCATGTCCATGTAGGTAATTATATTAATATCAATTTGTAAAATACACTTTTGCTT